ACAGAGTAATAGCAATTCTAACAGAAGTTGGTAAGATGTTTCGAATAACCACTAGTAAAAGTTGTTGCATCAACACATGACAATCATGAGACTTTAAACCAACTAATTTCAACTCTTGCATAAACACAAGACTCTTAACATTTGAGGAGTATCCTTGTGGCACTTTGACATCACGTAAACACTCACAAAAGCTTCTCTTTTTTTTCTTTGATAGAGTATGACAAGCTGGAGGTAAGTAAGTGCGTTTTCCAACTGATTGTGGATGTAATTCAGAACGTATACCCATGTCTGCCAAATATTGTCTTGCTTTTATTCCATCTTTTGTCTTTCCTTTTATGTTAAGCAATGTCCCCATTATACTATCACAAACATTTTTTTCAACATGCATCACATCTATACAGTGTCTAACTTCCAACTTACACCAATAAGAAAGATTGAAGAATATAGACTGTTTCTTCCAAATGTTTTTCTCATTGGATTTCTTTTGGGTCTTTCCAAACACAATATTAATATTTTTCACTTGATCATATACTTGTTCACCATTGCGTGACACTGATGCAACCGCATTCTCCTGACATCCATTAAATGTTTTTTTCATTTTACGATATGGATGATTAGCAACTAGAAACTTTCTATGCCTATTGTACGCAATTTTTTGTCCATGTTTCAATTGGATATAACTTGTGTCTTCTTGACATAAAGGACACGCTAAATGACCTTTCACACCATAACCGCTCAAATTACCATATGTTGGAAAATTATTTATAGTACAAAATAACATTGCACGCAACCTGAAATTCACTTCGTGATATGAATCAAATACATCCACTCCTGTTTCCCACAACATCTTCAAATCATCAATTAAAAGACTAAGATATACATCTATGTCATTTCCTGGTTGTCGAGGTCCTGAAATCATCATAGATAACATCATATATTTTCTCTTCATGCATAACCAAGGAGGCAAATTGTAAATGATCAACAAAACTGGCCATGAACTATTTTTACTATTTAAATTTCCATAAGGATTCATCCCATCTGTAGCTAATCCAATGCTCAAGTTTCTTAGATTTGCACCAAATTCTGGAAAGGTTTCATCAATCCTTTTCCATTGTGGAAAATCAACTGGATGTCGAAGAAGATTGTCACATTTTCTACCATTTGCATGCCATGTCAAGTTTCTTGCATCTTCTTTTATGGCAAATAATCTTTTAAACCTAGGTATAATTGGCAAATACCATAACACCTTAGCAGGTGGACCATCTAGTTCTTCCTCACCACTATTTTCCTCAACTTTGTTTTTGAACCTCGACAAACCACATGTCGGACACATCTTTAATTTAGCAAAATCGTTTCTGTACAATATACAATCATTAGGACATGCATGTATCTTCTTGTACTTTAAACTCATTGGACATAATATTTTCTTTGCCTCATAGTTACGAATAGGTAATGTATTATCTTCAGGAAGCATCTCCTTCAACAACTCTAATAATTCAGTGAAACTTTTATCAGTCCATCCATTTCTTGCTTTTAAAGTAAACAATTTTAAAGTTGCTGATAGTCTTGTAAAACTACATCCTATGTACAATTGTTGCGCAAAATCAGATTTCAAAAAATCATATAGATGTGCTTTCATAAAATTTTCTTCACCAATATCACGTATCATATCCTCAAGATTATCATCCATCTCTTCATCAAAATTGTTTGTAGTTGACACAGTTGGGATGTTTAATATTTCTCCATGCCATGTCCATATTGTATAACTCTTAATAATACCATAAACAAACAAGTGATCATGTATATCCTCAAGTTTATGACGGATTTGATTCAAACAACGAACACATGGACAATAATATGTCCCTTTCATAGCTTTTCCATTTTCACTAGCAAATTTCAAAAATTTCTCAACTCCCTTTTCGTACTCTTCACTAATACGACGTGCATTCATCAAACTTCGATTCATATTATGTTATAAAATTTCGTCACTCCTAGAGATTTAAAAATTATATGTAAAAAGAAATTAATATACAAACAACAAAGCACGTTCCAACAACAATGGAGTGTGTAAACCGAATGCACTCAAACAAATAAACAAATAATTACATTCCAATAACAATCCAGTGGAGACATTCATACTATAACATGATTGAGATCCTAAAAAATAATCACGGATTCAATTTAAATATATAGCAATGGCATAGAACACTAACCTCGAGTGTAGACGAAAAATGATTTCAAACTCGAATCCAATTGGGGAGAAATATCAAGTTCGTAAAATGACACACAATGTTGATGTTTTCCAGTGTCAAACTGATCGAAAATGGTGTGCAGAGGTAGCTGTTGTCGTCGTTCTCGTCGTCGTTCTCAAAAACCCTGGTTGCGCGAGAGGAGGGAGTGGGTCTGGGGGAATAAAAGGGACTTTTTATGTCGCGTGCTGGGGTGCGCGACGTAAAAGTTGTCTCTTAATTACAAAATTGACACCGCGTTTTATTTACGTCGTATATTTTTACATACTACGACAATTGGGTGACGTAAAAGCCCTTTTTTGTACTAGTGTAATATAATAAAAATTGAGATAGTCGATGTTAATTTTTGTTAATATCTCTTAATTAAAATATATCTATTATAATAAGTGAGACTAAGAAAATTTTCAAATTATATTGGATATCACATGTTTTTAAGTTATATATTTGTTGGATCTTTCATTTATTGTTAGTTAATTTTAAATGGAGACCTAACATGATATAACTAAATAATAGATATTTTTCTTAATTAATGTTAAGAGAGTCCAACATTATCTAAATTCTCATTATAGAATTCTGAATTGATTTTAAATTAAAATTTTATTCTATTAATTAATTAATAGCATAATGTTCCATAAAAATAAATCATGTATATGGAGAACGAATCGAGATCCATTTCTGACAATATTTTCAGTAAGATTCAAATTATTTCACCATGCATTCCATGCTTCAATTGACATTAAACCAAATTAATGTTCGGAATTTATTGTGAGAATAAAAATTAGTAATTAAAGAGTCCAAGACATAAAGTTGACTAGATTTTATTTTTCTTTTTATCATATTATATTATTTATATTATTATTTATTATTATTATTATTATTATTATTATTATTATCATTTGACTATTATCTAATATTGGAATTCTTGGATAAACATAAAAAAATAAAATAAAAAATAAAAAGGATTTTTGTTTATCCGAAAGGAATAGAGCAGTGGCATGCAACATGTGCGAGCGAAGGTGTGATGCAGACTCTAGAGAAACTTAGATGAATTGATTAGAGAGAGAAAAAGAGGGACACTGGCTTTATATCATTGAGGCTGCTACGGACCATCAACTACATCGCTTTCAATTTTTCCAATTTCAACAATTTTCAAATTATTTCTTCAAAAAGTTAGTAAGTTGTGTTAAGAAGAGAAGGGACAAAATGGAAATACCCAACAATTTAATGGAGCTGAATTCATGTTTCAATATTTGAAAATTATTAAAAGCTGGATGCACACTCAGTATAGCCAGCTACTAAATTTTTATTCCCTCCTAAGCCACCACCCTCGTCCAATCCAAATCCCCGCTTCCATCTTGGCACGGTAACTGAGGGTTTTTGACTCCTCACTCTTATGTCAGACTTTATTAATATATCATCTTCTATTTTTGTATTATCTTTTCATTGTTAAATTTTGGATTTTAACTCCCTTATCTATGTTTTATATTATTTTAAAAAAAATTATATATTTTTTCTCTAAATCCGGAAAGAGCATAAAATACACTAGAATGTATGATCCACCAATGAGAGGGGCCATTTCGTATCTCTTCGATCTGTAAAGATACATTATTAAGCAACCATTTTTTTCATTCAGGTCAAATCTATCTAAATATGTATTTGAGGAATTGTTTATGTGGAATAAATATTTATTTATTTTTTATTTGAACGTAGAATATTTATAATATTATCATTCTTGTATTATAGTATATATTTAAATATTAGATTATATATTAATTATTTTTAAAGCTATTATTTTAAAATGTTAATAAATATAAAAATATAATTTACAAAAATATATTTAATTAATTAATTTTTATTTAATTAGTGTAAGTGATAAAAAAATTTAATTATTACTTCTTTTAACTTTTTAAGATATAATTATTTTATTAAGATAAAATTTGATATATAATAAATAAAAATAATAAATTTAAAAAACATAATATTATAAAAAAATTAATAAATATAAATTATAAATAAAATAATATTATATATTATTAAAAGAAAATATAAGAACAAAAAATGAGAGAAAAAATAATATAACCAATTGTTTGAAATATATATATATATATAATATAAAATAAATGATTATATATTAACGTGAGAAAAAAATTTAAAATATTATTATCTTAAAATTTAAGTTTAAATATAAATTAATGAGGAGATGAAGTCCTTCATTTTTTAAAGTGAAAAAAATTTAAAATTTCACTTAATTAACTTAATTTTTCGTCATTAAAATAGAAACGTAAATGAATCAGTGATTATCATCTTTAATTTGATGTAATGATAACATATATAATAATTATTTGTTTATATTAATTATAAGAAAGGACAAATATCATTTTCATTATTCAAGGATTTTTGTTTAAGAACGTTAATGCAGGGGAATGTAGTTTTCTTTTGCATAGTTTTTTTAATCTCAAAAGTAATAATTTCCGAAGAAAAAAAAATCGCAATAGCTTATATTTTAATTGATAATTTTTGTATGACTTAAGTTATTAACCTTTTATTAAAAACCAAAAAAAAAATTAAGGGTAGAAGGAGGAGAAGAGGTGATTAGAATGCGCATGCATTTTTAGAAAGGTTGAAAAGAAATTTACCAAAATGATTAGTTGGTGTTGAATGGGGTAAACAAAGAATCTATATAAGGGTGGCACTTGGTTCACAAAGAGCATAACAAAACCCCACTTTGCAGTGAGGTTGAGGGGAAAAGCAATGGGGTCGCTAATGGCCTCCGCCACACTCAGTCTTGTATTGGCAATTGTGTCTCTAACCTTCCCATCTCAAATCTCAGCTGACCACTACATCTACTCGTCACCTCCACCACCTGTCTCTCCTCCATACCACTATTCTTCACCACCTCCTCCACCAAAGAACCCATATTATTATCACTCTCCTCCACCACCTTCACCTCCTCCTCCTACGCCATATTACTATCACTCTCCTCCTCCACCTTCACCTCCTCCACCCAAGCCATACTACTATCACTCACCACCACCACCTCCCAAAAAGAAGCCATACTATTATCACTCTCCTCCACCACCTTCACCTCCCCCACCAAAACCATACTATTATCATTCTCCACCTCCACCACCTAAGAAGCCATACTACTACCATTCTCCTCCACCACCTCCACCAAAACCATACTACTACCACTCACCCCCACCACCTTCACCTCCTCCACCTAAGCCATACTACTACCATTCTCCCCCACCCCCACCCAAGAAGCCATACTACTACCATTCCCCCCCACCCCCACCCAAGAAGCCATACTACTATCACTCACCGCCTCCACCTTCACCTCCTCCACCAAAACCATACTACTACCACTCTCCACCACCACCTTCACCTCCTCCTCCAAAGCCATACTACTACCATTCTCCACCTCCTCCTAAGAAGCCCTACAAATATCCATCTCCCCCACCTCCAGTGAACCCTTACCCTCACCCCTATCCCCACCCTCCACCCCAACCCCACCCCAACCCTTACCCTCACCCTCATCCTCATCCTCATCCTCACCCTCACCCTCACCCTCACCCTCCTTACGTTTACCACTCCCCTCCCCCACCCCCTAAGAAGCCATACAAGTACCCATCCCCTCCACCTCCAGTACACCCTTACCCTCACCCTCACCCTCACCCACACCCACATCCCCATCCATACCCTCACCCTCACCCTCCCTACGTTTACCACTCCCCTCCACCACCACCTAAGAAGCCTTACAAGTACCCATCGCCTCCACCTCCTGTCCACCCCAAACCCCACCCATACCCCCACCCCCACCCTCTTCCCACCCCACCCTCTTCCCCACCCTCACCCCACCCTCTTCCCCACCCTCTTCCTCATCCTCCTTACATTCCCCACCCAATCTATCACTCTCCTCCACCACCACCTTACAAGAAGCCTTACAAGTACAAGTCCCCTCCTCCACCACCTCCACACTACATCTATGCATCACCTCCCCCTCCTTACCACTCTTCGAAAGTGGTCAATTAGCATAGCTCTATGGTAACATTCTTCATAACCTACGTACATTCTACATTGTTATAATTTTTCATTAGCAATTACCACTTACTTTCATTTTCTCATTTAACACATATTTTCGTATGTATACTTGTTCCCAAGAAATGATACGACACTTTAACATCCCTATCAAGGTTTTAACTTGATTGGGAAAATGATTTTTCGGGTCTGGCTATAGTGAAGGGACCACTTAATGACATTGACCGACACAATAATAATGTATGTGCATGTGTTTTGACGTGTTTGTAGGATGTGAAGAATATGTGCAACAAATAAAGAAAGTGACGGAAAGAAGAGCGCTTGGCGATGCAGGAAAGAGAAAAATGGAAGCAAAGTTTCCGCGTTTTGTCTTTCATAAAAAATGTTTAAATTATTTTCCATGATAGGGTTTGTTTCTGGTATTTTATTTTGTTTATGAATTTGGGTGTATTTTAACAGTTGTAAAGCACTGCGCTCTGTTGCATGATCATGATAATAGTACAACGTACCACCATGTTCTGTAGTTTTCAACCAGCTGCGTTTGCAGGGGTTGTAAAACTATTCATATATAATTAAATAAATTATATTCTCTCTTTCGCAATCTCTCACCAATTTAACCAACATAAAAGTCAATTAATAATAGCTGAGTGTACAAGATCGTAAAAATAAAACTGGTCATTAGTTTGTTCGATGATGAAATATTGGGATTATTTTATCCGTTCTTTTGTTTATGTTGTCTTGTCTACGTGAAGTCCGAAAAGTACGTTCATTACCGCAAGTAACTTTTCATTGAATTGTCCGGTGTGAAATGTAATAAGAATGTGAGGGAAAAAATTACCCAGAGTCCATGATTCACCTCCACCCCTTTTTCTTCTTCTATAAAAATTGAAGGAAGAATTTAATTGTCGAAGAAAAAAACCTAACCATTTATAACAAAATGTATCAGGGAGAGTATTTTCATAAATTTAAATTGTAATAGAAATTTTGTAAAGAATATATTAACGAATGCGTTACATTACATGGATGGTGAAATTAGAGCATGTTTACGAAGGCATGGAAATAGTTCAGCACCAATTTCAAGGCATTTTTTTGTTTAGAATGTTTACCAAACGTTCATGACACGTTCAAGATACGGAACCGCAATACCAACAAACTTAGGCTTAGTCTTCGTAGTTTTTGAAAATAAGGTTTAAAATGCAAGTACGGCTTATAAAAAACGTGAAACGAAACATGCGGTTATGTTTGGAAATTCAAGATTCAAATACCAGTTGAACTGGGTTGTGTACCATTTAAATATCTATGACTGAGATTAACATTCAGCAGAGACATTTGTAATAGTTGCCATTGTCGCTGGGCAAAAGGAAAAAAATGGAAAGAAGAAAGTGCAATAAATAGGCCTGACAAAAAATCTGAATTAAATAAAGAGTTGGTGTAATAATAAATTGTATGGGAAGTTTGTGACTTCATCCGTTTATTGTCATTTTTTCTTTCCCCTTTTTATATATATCCATACTTTTTAATCCCTTTTATATTCAATATTATTATTTTAAAATTAAAGAATCAAATTGCCTAAATTTAGAAATTAGAGAATGAAATTGAATAAAATGGATAAATAATGAGAAAAAAGTGCTTTATAAAATATTCGTAAAAACCTCACATAACATTATTACTCGTGATAAAACGTTTGCATGTAGGGGCTGCTACCTTTCATATTCACTGGTCTCCTTCAACATCACATTACTGTACTTCGATTTCGGACTTTTAAGCTGTCTAGTTGGACCCGGTAAAAAGGAATCTTTTTTCCAAATTTGAATATTTGAAGTTGGATCAACTTTATAAACATCAAATAAAATACTAGATTTGCCACCCACCCTGCAGATTTTTTTTGTCAATCAGTGCATTAATTATTTTAGGAAAAAAAAATCAACAACATGCATTTACATTTGTTTTAGTAGTAGGTAAATTTCGTGCTGATTTAATTGAAATGAGAGTGAGTTTAATCTGCAAAACGTATAAAATTAACTTAAATATAAATCTAAATTATATATAATGATTAAAATTGCTTGTTTCCAAAATAAGTAAGTATCCAGTGATTGAGATGGTGCAGTGCAGAGATTGAATGGAGTAACCTTCCACCATTCAGTGATCGATCTAGACAATCAATGATTTTCATATTGTACATTGAATAATGTAGTAGTTAATGCCACTTTTTTCTTTAACGTTGTTACTTTCTTTACATCAAAATATAATAATTAACTACAGAACAATAGATGGAAACTCATTCCACTCAATAGTAACAACGTGGCTCAATGTTTGATGATTTAACAGATAGTTTAATTTTGTCTCTTAATTTATATTTGTAATTTTCTTTAATTGTTTAATGAATAATAAGTTTATGACAAGCAATTAATAAAAGAAAATAATTGACTGTGACGACGTAATCAATTCTGAAATGAATTACCTCGTTGACACGAACCGTCATTTCATTATGAAAATTGTCTCTAATATTTAATTTCCTTTACTCTGTTGGATATCCCATGTCTGAATAAAAGCAAATTCGGTGTGTTTAGAACATTAATGGCTAACGAACTAAAATCAATAATTTTATTAAAATATATAAATGTATTTTATTGCAATTTTTTATAAAACATCATCATGATTCTGTTAATAATAGTATGTGGTGTGATTAATAAGCAACATTATTAATAATAATAATAATAAAAAAAGATGGGAAAAAGAAAAGATAAGGAGAAGATGATCTGATAATAGTAGGGTCCAGGGTTCCATCACAATGTTGAAACCCGAACCTGCTACAATTTATGTATGGGACCCTTCTTTAAACTAAAAATCAGAGCCATGTTTTATTTTATATATGTGTGGAGGACACAGTTTCAAATTGTTCGTTTATCTAATTCTGCTTCATCCTCCCTTACAAGCTCAACCATCACGTGTTTATCATAGGATAACTCTTCTTAACCAAAATTCTTTAAATTTAAACATTAATTTTATTGTTACTTCTTAAATTATTTGTGAGTTTAATAATTATGTATTATGAGGATGAGAACAATTCTTAAATTAATTTAATGATAACTATTAATAATCTTATTTTAAACAAATTATTGATAACCAATCCAAAAAAAAAACTCCCAATATTTTTAACTCTTACAAACTTCAATCTCTAATTTCCCTTTTTAAAATCACCAGTTTTTTAATTAAAAAAAATATTGTTTTGTGTGTTAGGGGTTGGTGGCGTTGCTAACAACATCTACTTCTCTCTCTTTAAATTTCAAATACCACTACCAAGTTTTTTGTAGCACCTTGAAATCTCAAGAAAATATATCAAGAATCGACATTATAGTAGGTGAATAGAAGAGATTCATGTAATTATAACCTCAAAACAATTGGACCAAATCAGTTTGGTTGAACATAAAAAATGTTGAGTCAAAAAAATCATGGGCTTATCTTGTTGTTATATTTTGTTTACATTTAAATATAAATTAAAAAAAAAAAGGTTCACTAATTAAGTTGGGTCAATACACCTTTCACCTTCACCAATAAACTAAGGCTATTGATTTTATGCATTTTTAAACGCATTGATAATATCTACATAAACACAGCAACAATTTTTTTTTCTATTCTTTAGAGCGCAAGATTACAGTACATAAAATCTAACACAAAAGCAAAGTCAAGATGCTTTTTTCTTTTTTATCCCTTTACTATTGGTAGTTCAACAATTTACGGAAGGATAAGAAATGAAAGAGATGAAATAATTGATAGCTTTGTGAAGTGAGTGGACAGATTAAATGTACATGAGTTTTTTTCCACATTGTCAATAATTAAGAATATTATTAGGTATAGACCCAAATTACTTTATGGGATTTAGAGTCACTTTGAGTCCATTTTTGTGGCATGTGAAATGTGCCATGACTCTTGTTCTTGTGATAACTTGGGAGATAACACATGCAGTAGCTATGTGAGAAGATAATTACTTACCCAGATGCATGAAAAGAATAATAGTGATAGGAAAAAAGGACACAAAATATAGTGGGAGATGGGGTCTGCTTAATCCAAATTCCATGTGGAAGAAAGAACATGAAAATAAAAACAAAGCATAGAAAAACTTCAATTACAGGCAAGTTGAACCAACTGTGTTGAATTTTAAAATCATATATATTTGAGAGATCTTGGCATATTCTTCATCAACATGTTTTTTTAAGGTCCACCAAATTCTTTTCTTTCTTGTCTCTTTCAGAGTCCTGGAGACAAAGTAAATAAGACATTTTGATTATGCATCCAAATTTATGTTATGCTATTTTGATAAATTATTTTATATTAATTTATTAATTAAATTATAAGGTGAGAAAATTTTGTTATGAGAGTCCATATTATTTATTATTTTTTTATTTCTATTATTTAGTAGTATTAATTTGAAGATATAAGTATAAGTGTTATCATAAATTATTATTGAGTGATGTTAGGATGGATATATTCAGTGAAATCTCAGTTGAATCTTGTTCAATAAATTGTGTAACCCAAGTATGCATTGGGCTTGCTGAAATGGAAAAAGAGTTTCATCCGTGAAACAGTAAAAGGATTAGAGTACCCATTGTATATATATATATATATATATATATATATATATATATATATATATATATATATATATATATATTCATGTAAGAGGGCCTCTAGGTTATATTTTCTTTTATCAGTCATATAATAGTGACCTGATTAGATATGTTTCCCCATGGTAGTGATATTTGTTAATATATATAAAGTAGTGATATATGAACAACTCTTTTATATCTAGGAATAATGTTATACTAAAGCTTAACTATAAAATTCAATAATTATAAAATTTAAAATAATTATTATAAAAGTAATTAAATTTATCATACCGTAATTATAATTGAATATGAAACCTTTTTCTATATATTGTGAAGACTATCTTCTCATGTTTTACTTAATTACATCTCTCAAAATTTATCTAAACATTCCATGTCTCCTACATTTCATTTCTTTTCACAAAATAATATATTTTTAATTCCTGAAAAGATATATATATATATATATATATATATATATATATATATATATATATATATATATATATATATATATATATATATATATATATATAAGCAATTGATTTTCTGGGATAAAAAATATTACCAAAACGTGCACTGACAAAAGTTTTCCCAAGTATAGTATTTTTTAACAAAAATCAGATATTTTCTCTATCCATGACAACAGTAACACGTAAATATCCTCTAAAGTCTATATAGGATAATTTGAAAAAGGGAATGATAAAATATTATTATAAATTAGGGGTATAGTATTGGTATTCTCCACTGTAAGGTGAATTGAAGAATTAGATAGTTACGTTTTAAGAAAGGGTTTATAATTTTTTCGGAGTATGAAAAGATTTGTAATTTTTTATGCAAAAATTATATGAAAAATATTTGTAATTTTGTCATTATAACGAAGAACGATTAAGTGTATTATTGGATATAAAAAAAATGTCAAATTACATTAATTTCTGAATTTATTTATCTTGTACGTATATTCTCGAAAATAAAGATTTTTTTTCTCTCTTCTAATAAAAAAACAGGTTTATTACCAATTTTTACTATACTGCAATAACAATATGCAACTTTTATGACTCTAATTCATTCTACTACCTACTTAGTACCATTCATTCTTTAACATGAGTCATTTCTTAAAAATATCACTCAAGAAATTCATATTTTATATTTGAACACAACAATTCAGATGAGTCATTTCAACAGCAACAATTTAATATGTTATTTACTATTTAAAAAAATATATAAAATATGAATTTATGATATTTATTATTGATTTTATTTCTTTATATTTTTTTAAAATTATAAAAAATTTATTCTGTATATTTATTTTAATTTGTTTATTTTTTAAATTACTTGATAAAACAATTAAAAAATAATTAAACAATTTATAATGTCAGAATTTTTTTAATAAAAAAGTATTTCAAATAATTAATATTTTATTTAAGTATCTCAATAAATAATTTGTTGTTAAAAATATTATAATGAATTATTTAAAAATAATGTAACACAATAAATTCATATTTTATATATTTTTTTAAATAAAATAAATCATATCACTTATTCCTATTGACAATATACTTAAATACATCAATAAGTTAGAGAAAAAAAAAGTGGAAATATTTATTTAAGCTATCTAATAATAATAATGGAAGAAAGACATTAAAAGAAATTGCTTTTATATTTAATGAGTGAAGACAAGTGTTTATGACAAGCATGCAATGTAGAAACATGATGTGTCTGGTTGGAGATCATCATCAAATATATCCCATTAGTATATTATTGTGTAGGTATGAGTAACCCTGACATCATATTATGTATTCTTTTCTATTTTTATTTCTAGTGGACATTGTATAAGAAATACTCATATTCTAGATTAAAACAATACATTTTAGTACAAATAAATTATCTTCCCAGTTCAAATTAAGAAAAAATTTTCAAAATTTAAAATAGTATGATAAAAAAACATATTTGCCTCATTCTTAGTCCCATTTAAAGAAATGAAGATGCATGGGATTTTCTTACTCCAATAATGTCAAATGTAACATAACATGGGTTTGTCTCGGCCACACATGTTCTCCCACGAGATTGCACGTGCCATATGCAAATCATCAACCAATGTAAGCATTGCAAAAGGCAATGTGTTGTTTCCCACTCATTCATCTCCGTTCATGGCCTAAGACCGTGACAGAAAATTGTCCACATTCTATGACATCTTTATTTTTAAAATTCATTGTAATTATTGTGAGTAAATAAAATATTACAAGTATAAAGTATAAAGTTAATAAACTATTTTAAAAAAATATCTACTAGTATGATATTCGTAAGTATAAAGTAAACTCGCATTTTTTTCAAAACAGATATCCGATAAATAAGAAAATGGAAAAGAGAGAAATTTTGTTGTTGAGAACAAGCACTGTCTTGTCTATGTCATTCCTAAATCAGAGTCAAGTTAAATACTACATCAAATTATTGTGGTGGTTGATTAAAAATTACAATATGTAATATTTTTTTGAATTATATTTATATTTCAACGTCTTTTTAAGTTTTACAATTTTTTTAATATTAAACTAGCAATTTTTTTTTTTACATCATACCTATATTCCTTCCATTTTTTTAAATTGGTATGCTTACATCATGTGAGTGTAAGAATAATATATATATATATATATATATATATATATATATATATATATATATATATATATATATATTTTAGGAGTGTTAGTAAACGCTTGCATTATTATAATCAAACTTGTTAACTAAAGTTTAACGAAACTGTTGATCCATAGATACAAGATTCGTTTGAAAGCATCAAATCAGAAGAAGAAAAATGAAGTCACTCAAGAGAATGAGATTGAAAAAAAGAAAAGAATGATTGAAATGAAAGTCGAGATTATGTATCTGGACAGGATGACAGCAAGTATTCATCTGATGCAATAACACACCTTATAATTTTCTCTCTTCAAATATTTATCATTATAAATGGGCCCAGCAAAAATAAATGAATTTGAACATGATTTTCTCCCATATATGCGTGGAGGGCAGGAAGCACAGAAAAAAAAAAAGTTTGGTTTTATTTGTTAGGGTCATACCATAGGAGAACTAATTAAAGAGTATTAAAACGTCTAAGATTATTTCCTGACGATGATGGTGTGTTCTTTTTCAGAAATTTACTTTTAAGATTGTTTTTAGAGGAAGAAGATATTTACAGCTAAGATATTGTATCAACTTTACCATTTGTTATATATTTCAGAACACTTTAATTAACATACTCTGTCGAAAGAAAAAAGAAATGGAGGGTGTTTTCAATCTTTGTATCTTTAATTTTCTTTGTGTACGTTGTCAGATAATCGAATTTTCAATGTGAATCTCCAAAAACTTAAACATGAGGCTTGATTGGTGTTAAAATTGATGGGATAGGAATAAAGTTGAAACTGTATACAGTAATTTCAAAGTGCAATTAAAGAAGTACTAAACACAAATTTGTTGGGTAATTCTGCATCATAAAGTAGGTTACATCATTCTCCATGAAATTCAACTTCCTAATTTAAAACGTAAATGGGCATGAAGTATGCTTTCCGTGAAATATATGGGTGATTGATGTATTAGTGTGGAAATTGTGATTGTTGGGATTTATAAAACCCAGAAATGCGGTACATGTACATGTTCTTATATGATTAGGGTTGAAGGCAAAACACATTGGGAAATGGATAGAGCTCATCCATTGATGGACTAGATACCATAACAAAACTAATACTGAATCATCTGTTGTTTCGTGAGTGTCTTGAAAAAGAAAATAAGTACAGACAATAAATATACATGAATTTATCACAAAGCCGAGTACAGAATTAGTGCATCACAAAACAAATGTACTACAGTTGACACGTTAACTGTCTGCCTAACTATTAACGATATATTTATAAGACCAGAAAAATGTAAGCACATTCTTCTTACAAAAATATTATTTAACAATCCAATCAACTATCGATATTTGTAGTGTTATTTTGAGTTATGATATTATGTAGTGTTATTTTGAATTATGATATTATGTATTGTTATTTTGAGTTGTTCATTGATTATTTGGATTATCAAACAATTACCATTCCTCTTTTTACCCCTCCTTATTTTGGGTGAAATCTGAGGTGACCAAATTAGAAAAACATAAAAGATAATGATCGATTAACCTCTTGCATAATTTATAGTTTAGTCCAATGTGATTTTCAATAAAACATTAATTAACTGGACGGTTTAAACAAATCTCATTAAATTCACCTCAAAACAATAAAATTAATAACATGAATGTACGTAAATAACAAGGTAAACGTAACACTTTGCAGTAAGCTAGTTCAATCTCCATGCGAGTCATTAATTTACAGTTCGAACATAAATACATAATACTTGAGGCAAAAAAAACAAAAAAGGAAGGCAGCATTAACACCCTCACTATACATTGATTTTACGTCACAACTATTTTTTTTTTCAGCCACGTGGAACGCATTCCACTAATCGAAATAGTTTAAGAGAAGTTTGACGTGATTTTCCTGGAATATATATTTTAAGTATAGTCAGCTATAACATTAGTATCCCTCTTTACATTTTCTCACTTTGTATAGGTTACAACTTCTGTGAACGCCATTTTCCCTCGGTATAACAGGGGAATGTGAAAAAACTTCGCAGCTATTTGAATAGCCAGTGGAAGCCAAAAAAGGTTAGATCCATCCAACCGTGTAAATGTCTGGTACATTAGTTTGTGCTGAAAATGTCAAGCACCATTCACTTCTGAATCTTTCTGCAATTTGCACGTATAAAAAATAATCAGGCCAGCTAATTAAATGTTTACCTAAAAAAACCAAAACAATTATCAGGGAAAATTATATTTTAACTTGAGTGAAATTGCACTTGACTATCTGTGTAAGGAAGAGGGAGGGATATTGGGTGCAATGTCACTTCTGTTCAGGGAGTATGAATGTAATTTGTCCTAATTTTTAAGAAATAACAGTATATAATATACCTCCATTTCTTGCACAAGATTTTCCAGTTCAACCGTTATCTCATTAAAGGATGGACGGTCGATTGGAATTGCTTCCCAACATCTTTGCATCAATTCTAATATTCTAGGGTGCCCATGTTTCGGAAGTTCTGGCCGCAGACCCTGAAGGATGTACAGCAATACAGCAGGGTCAAACACAAAATAGATTATCCTAGTTGAAAACTTCTACAGCAATACCATGAAGCATGCATTCACTAAGGTAGAATGATTATTTCTGTTGAAGAAAACCTTTTACATAAGGTTTTTTTTTTTTTGTTGACATATTAATGAAGCCAAAAATAATAGTTCACTTAGAAAGACAGGGAGAAAAGAAAGAACACTTGAAATGCTTGCAAGATTCCAAGTTTACACTTTCATGCTCGCTTTCATCATCTTTGACATCCTTTTACTGGACACGTCCTATGACTTCTATCATGTTAGCTTTGTGACTTTAAGTTAATTCAGCATTCATCTGTTTAAGTACATGTGAAATATGATATAAGCAATTACCGAAAACTATTCAAGTGAGAAAAGGACTTTCAGAAGTAAGTCAAGTCACAAGTTCTTATGACAGAACTAACTCATTCCATGATATCCTCTCCATAACAGTCTCGCACACTATATTTATTTAAAAAAATAAGTACTAGAAGTTGGCACAACCGGTAACATTTATTGGTTCATATTTTGCTTTAGTTGATAGAAAAAAGGAAAACAAAAAATTGTATCAGAAAACCCAGTTAAAGATTAACAAACAGATGGAGCAATACTTATTACTCTGTAAAGAAGAAGAATGCATCCAACGTTGTCATGTAGCTTTAGAGCAAAACTTATTCAGGTTTCAGTTTTATGTAACATTCAAGTCTAATTGATAAAGGAAGAGCAAACCTGTCTCACACCCAAAGCCGCTTGTAGTGGAGTCATGGTGTCATATGGTACCTGAAATATCATAAAAAAAATTATATTTTTACAAGGACTTTCTTGATATATATATATATGAAAAAAAAAATCCAATTTAGGCTTATACCTTTGCGGTCACTAATTCCCATAGTACAATGGAAAAACTGAATACATCTGCTTTCTGATCATAGGGCTGATGGTTTATAACCTTGTGAGAAAATCCATTAGCAGTAAGATAATTAAAAGTAAAACCAAAACAAAATAAAAATTACACGTGGCAATAATGAGAATCTATAGACAGAGATTTTGAGTGTTCATTTCTTTTGCCCATTCGCTTTTGTTCCAGTTTCGATTTAGGCAGAATGAAGAGAGAAAGTATAATGTCTATCAAGTGCATTTATATATTTCTCCTATTTGGCTATTTCGGAAATGGCTTAGAATTTTTTCTTACACTACACATCTGACACTTGGTTGAAAATAAGGACTATGGCTGTTGCTGAACCAAGGTTGGGAGATTTTTGAGCAACTTCTAAGGAGCTTCAGAAACAGTTTGCAGGAATAATGAGGACAGTTTCATGACACGATTATTATATCCATTTCTTTGCTATAATGGAAATGATAGATCAAACGTATCAATATCCTACTTGTACAAACAAGAATTTAATACAAGGAAGAAAACAATTAATAGATCAAAATAATCTAGGCACAAAAGACTACAATACTTTTCAGAGATTTATACCATTTAGACACATCAAAGCAAAAAGCACGTGTTGTTTTCATCAGAGGTACAAATTTGATTGACATGTGAAGAAAAATTATTGTGATTTCTAAGAGAATCCGTGATGGTTTATGTTGGACACGAAAACTACAATTAGGTTTGAAGGAGTCAGTCTAAGAATTCCATAGAACTAATAAAACTCCCATGTAGCCAGCAAAAGAAAAATTTAGCTGTAACTGTAATTATCAATTATTAATGGCCAGCAGCTTTAGCTTTACGATTTCTACTACTTAGACATTAACATTAATACGAAAATATCAAAAAGCGCAGCAAGTTTTTTTTTCTTTTCAAATAACGAACCTCTGGTGCCATCCATCTATATGTTCCAGTTTCTGCTGTCATCACTCCCCCCTGATTTAGGAACCGAGCAACTCCAAAATCTGCTACTTTAACAACCTAATAGTAAAAGAAAAAATAATTAAAAATTAGTGAATAGAATTTAATAAAATTACATATATGCTACTCCAAAACAAAATACATGTTATTGACACTCATATTAAAAATAGTAAAAGGATTCAGCGGCAGCAGTTCCTCAAAACGACAAACAAATAATTTTCAGTGTGCATGGTTTCCGAAAGTTTAAATATGTGCACAAATTTCATATTCCCATTTTTAACCAATGCTATTTGTAATGTGCATTGCATGAATTATGTCTATAAACCATTGTACTACAATTACTATAGAAAGTTTTATTATTTATCATGCTTCAATAAATTATCCAGAAAACCTGTGAATAATTAGTCACAAAATTACACAAAACATGAAGTACTGCAATAAATTTATTGGGTTGAATATACAGAGAATATTTGCCTCGTTAATGTCATTTGAACACAAGGTAACACTCATTTTAGTTAGGCTAATGTTGTATAGAGTAGAAAACCAGTAGTTTTAAACTTCCGAAGAATTCTTACATTGTGTGTATCCATCAGCAAATTAGCCGTCTTCAGATCTCTGTGAATTATGTTGTTTGCGTGCAAATACTCCATACCCTTGCAGACATCAATTGCAAACTTTAGTAATTGAGATAGCTCCAAGACATTATGATTTTTGTGCACGTAATCATACAGACTTCCCCCGGGCATATACTCTGCACAAAAGAATAGAAACGTTAAAGTATATTTCAAAAGATTAAATTGAAAAGAAAGACAAATTGAACAATATATAGGAGCAGACCAGCTTTTAATTAGTAAATTTAAGTATTCCAAAGCTTATTGAATTTAATTATTCAAAACCAAAATTAGGCATATGCCTAAACCAAATTGAATACAGAAGGACAGAACCATCACAGGTTAAGAAAAAGAATAATTACATATAACACCATCAATATAATGGTGTATCATACGAGTAGATTCTGTTAGGCAATCTCTCAAAAAGGAAGGAAACAGAGATTGATGTTTAAAACCCAAGCTAATTTAACTAATATTGTTTTGCATCTAACATCATCAGGAGGGACTTAATCCCAAATTATTTAGCAGGTTGAGTAACTAGGTTAGACGAACAATATCCATGAAGTGACTAGTTCAGAATCAACAAACAATGTAAACTTGCAGTGACGCAGGTACAGAGGAAAATAATCCTAAGCTTGACACCCAAACATTAAGGAACATATTATCCACAAGATATTAATATCCGATGACATGAATTTGTGAAGATAATTTATTACTTGATTTTCATATAATTTTTCTTGATATCATAAAACAGCTATACAGAGGAAGATTGCCTTAGACATGGGATCCACAATCCCATTATTTACAATAATGGAGATCAATTTGCATGACATTTAGAAACCTTCTAAGTCCCGTAACATTGATTTGCATCATGAACAAGTCACATTGAAAATGTTGCGATGACCAGTGTTTTGAGCTAATAAATCCCCTGAAAAGTACTAAATGATGAACATATTAGCACAAGGTCAAGTGATCTAAGAAAACCATACAACTTACAACCAAAAGGCACACTTGACATTTAAGACAGAAGAAACACTTAAAACTTGTAAAGATGCTAACTGTAAATCCTGAAAGATAGATTATCAACACACACCAGCATGGGACTAACCATATATCATGATTAAAAAAAAATCACGTTTAAGGAAACAAGTCTAAAATTGACAATCTTGCGCACCCAACTACACTTTAAACTAAATAAAAGCCCTAGATCACAAGCTATGGTTGCATGGACACATATATCCGCAATGAAACATAAATGTTTAAACTTGCAAAAAAAAAAAACTTACTATCTTTAATAAATAATGAATTGATAATATGACTACATTCTACAAAGCACAATTTATATATTTAATATGAGAAATATTGTTTGAAACTGAAGAATAGCTTTGACTAAAATGTGTTCTGCTCATTATTCAAGCTGAACAAACACAAATGATTTGTAATCAAGAATTATAATAGAAAAAGAAGAACTATATTTTCGGAACGTGTGCTACAGTAAGAAAAGAAGACACAACCTGGTATTAAACATGTCGCGTATCTACAACTCTTGTACTGTAGCACATCTTTATAAGAGTGGTAAACCATATGTTGCGTTTCTTGTTATGTTTAAAAACTCATGGATTAAACTCTTAATCTGCATATTTCAGAGAATCCCGCTTTAGAAATTAACGTGTACCAAAAGTTCCTGTTTCATGACTATGAGACAAATCTTTTGATAAAAAGCTTACAAAAAGGTGACAGAAAGAATTTTAATTTTATAAGAACAAATTATACTTCATTACATTAAGGTGTACCGAAATGATAGCAAATTTCAAAACTAATAATTATATTTATATATATATATATATATATATATATATATATATATATATATATATATATATATATATATATATATATATATATATATATATATAACACTTCACTCCATTATTAATATTTGAGTAACTATACTATTTTCAGTAAAGAAATGACTTAATTGTAGTTAAATGCTCACTAATAATACGTCAAAAAACAATTACTTCAGTTTGAAATTGACATATTTAAATATTAATCTATTTTAACAATTAAAATGTAAAAAATACAAAATACTAATCTAAATGTTATCATCAGGCAAATAAGAAAAAAACGAAAAGAATATTTCTATATTTTTCTCTATGCTTTATTTTTGTCCAACACTGTGCAATAGCTCGATTGATTGCAAAGATTTTTGAAACAAAAACAAAGGACTTTTACCAACTGATGTAAGTATCTTATGATTTATTGTTAATTTGAACATACATACATTTAGAAATCAATAATTTAAAAAGCATGATTAGAATAACTAAAAAAAATAGTTAATATGAACATTAAATTATCAAGGTCGTTAGAAATTACATAGATGTCAATTTACCTAAAAAAAATTCACATTTCCCATTATAACCATATTTATGTTTTACTTCATGGGTCATATTAGTATTTAAAGTATTTCGCAATACATTGAAAAACCGAGTCAGGAAAAAATTCATATCTAGCAGTGTTAATTGAAAGATTCATAACAAAATAACAAATTTTTAATAAATGAATTCATTAAAGCACTTCTTTCTTCTAGTTCAAGTTAATTTGTAAAAATGATTCACCCATAACAATTCAAATGACTATTATTTATGAAAAACTTAGAATTACAACACATTTTTATTTAGCAAACTAGCAATGAACAAAAACATAAAGCGGAAATGAGAAGATAACTCCTTATATTTTTTATTGCTTAATTTGTGAAAATATCTGAATTAACATTATGTACTTTCAACTTATATTGATACAAATTTAATTTTTAAAATAAATTAAATTTGTATAATACTAAATCATATTATGTATGAGTGAGAGTCAATGCATGCATACACACCAATAGATATACGTATATTAACATCCTCCTCATTTGCTATTTAGATTATGCCTCATATCTTTCTGGTAAAAATGAGATAGCAATACTGATAAAGGAGAGATGATACAAATGAATAACTATTCAGAGAATACAGGTGACAGAAAAATTGAAGTAGCAAAAAAGCTAAAACGTTAATCAAATTTAAAATATAAAATGGTATCATTATTCACTTCTTAAAATTTGGCCAACAAAACGAGAGTTTTAGTTTGGAGGATGCTACTCTACACATGAATCCGGAGATCGGTACTTAGCAATTCCCATATATAATTCGTTTCCACTGTTTCATAGAACTTCATGCTTGGCAATTTCTTGAATTTCTTTAAACTTATAATGTTCTTGTGTCAATTTACTGTGTCATCTTAAATTCACTAAAACATTCGGCTGAACATTACTGAGACTAACTCATAAATAAAGAGTCATCCCATATGTTCTTCCTCAGTAATCATTGTTCTATTAGAAAGAGTCAAAGGGGGTATGGGTGTATTTATTTTTTTATAACCTCGAAAATTTGTAACAGTCTTTGCTTCCACAAAACATTAATAAATGAGGACAGCTAATTATTTCCACGTTTAAATAATATAGAAAAATATATATGCATATACAAACAGATTGATCGATACCTGTTACTATGCACAAATGTGGACACTTCGTACATGCACCAATGAAACGAACAACATTTTTATGATGTACCTGCCTGCATTCCGAAATACAGAAGTCAATTTGTCAAAATTTTAAGGGAAGAGAAAGACCGGAACCTCAATGAGAAAGTGAGTGGCAATTGGTCTTCAAATTTATGTCCTAAAGACAACATAAACCTAAATAGTATATGGAGAAAACCCAGCAAAGAAAACATCAATTGAGAAATAAGCAGTTATAAAGCAACTACAATTACATCAATTATCAAAAGTTTCTAGGAAACAGACATCCAGTCCTTCAAGGGTTAACCAAGCGTAGTCGTAAGGATGCAGCAACTAACCAATTATTGAAAACTGATAGTTTTGTCATGCAAAACGACTTCTTAAAACTTGGTAGTTGGTACTTGAGTTCATATTTCAATTTCTCCTCTATCAATTCAAATATATATTTCTCAAGAAAAATATAACATAATAATTGTTCAAAAAAAACTACTGTACAACAACACAGAATAACAAATCTTTGATAATCTTATAGAAAGAGAATTTATAAGAAAGATGAATTAGAAAAACAAATTGTGATATGCAGTATGGTCTTAAACTTTGAGAAGCAAAATGCTGACCTCAGAATTGCCACTTCTTGAGCAAACTCATCCTCCAAGGTATCATTCAATTGCTCAGATTTTAGAACCTTAACAGCAACATCCTCCCCGAGATAAACTCCGCGATACCTGAATTGAATTATAAAGCAAATTAGAAACAAGAGAAGTATTAAGATGTTTTGAAGAGAAAGAAAAAGAGGTTAACAGAAAAAAACACAACTTACAAATCTCCAGAGGATCCAGACGCTATTTTTTCGCCTAACTTTAGCAATCTCCTGTCTATTTCCCAATCTCCTGATTTTCCCCCTGTTGCTAAGGTTTTCTCCACAGCTGAATGAGAATTTGAAGAACGAGACCATGACCCCTAGAGAAAGGAAGAACATTTATTACATTCTTATATATCATGATTGTATACTGTGTAAAAAGGGCTACCAACTTTGATTATTACAAATAAAAAAAAATATCAGAATAAAATGCAAACACCCCTTTAACTTTGCCTAATATATGATTTAACCCAAGTTTTAAAATGTGTAAAGAAAATCCAGGGCAAAAATGTTTACAAAACTCCGGTCAACCCATTAAACATAGACTCTACCACTGAAAAATCACTTGAAACCATATAAAGTCTTGAGCAGCAATTCTGTTAGTTAGGGTAACAGCAGACATCTATCAGCTGTCAGTTACTCAGTGACAGTTACAATGATCAAATCAATCTGACTCACCTGCACCTATATATAGATTGTAACAGGGTTGGGCAATGCGGCTTGTATTCATTCTCTCATATCAATGAAATCAGTCTACATGAGCAACAGTTTTCTCTTTAAAAGGGTACCAGAGCATACTGTTGTCACCAGGTCCAACACTAAAGCTAAATATCATAACCTTGCATCTGTTACTCCATATACTCTTTGTTTGATAGAATTATTATTAGGTAGTGGTTAATAGTTGGTAGTTGTTGTTTTAAATGCTGTAATCCTAAATATATATATATGATTATAGAGTGGAGTGATGTATTCCACTGAATTATAAATTTTCTTTTAACTCTCTTTACTCTCTTAATTTGGTATTAGAGCAGGTTAGTCCTGTTCTGCCTTTTCGGCCACTGTCCGGCCACTGTCCGACCACAGTCCAGCCACCATCCGACCACTTTTCCAGCCACTTTCCGGCAACTGTTAACCCCCGTCCAGTCACTTTTTCGCTGCTGTCCGACGACTTTCCGACCACGTTCTAGTGACCTTCTGGCCTCCGTTCCGCTACAGCTGTCCACTGCTGTCATTCGCCAGTTTTCTTGCAAAGTGAAAATTGATACTTCCCTCTCTATCTAATTCTATCTTGGGTATTGTCCTTCTTACAAATTACATTATCTCCATCTTACATCTACATTATTTAAAACATGTCATCAGGACCCACAACCTCCTTTTCTGGAACTCCCACTATAACGTCTGAGAAATTAAATGGAAAAAATTACATGTCTTGGTCCTCTTCAGTGGAACTTTGGTTCCTTGGACAAGGGTTTCACAATCATCTAAAAGAAGACGGAAGTAAGATATCAGAAGATCAGACTCAAAAATGGATAAAGCTTGATTATCAACTCTGTGCTCTATTGTAGCAATCAGTAGAACCAAATATTTTGAACACTCTCATATCCTTCAAAACATGTAATTCTTTCTGGAAAAAGGCTCAGAATATCTTCGCAAATGATATCCAACGTCTCTATGATTCTGCTAATCGATTAGTCCCTATCAAGCAAGTGGATAAAGATATGATGACCTTTATTGCTGAAACTCAATCAGTAGTTGAAGAATTAAAAATGTTTCTAGAAGTAGATTCGTTAGAGGAGATAAAACAAAAGTTGAATAAATTATATATGGTTATGACTCTCCGGGCTATGAATTCAGAATTTGATCATGTTAGAGATCAAATTTTAACTGGACAAGAAGTTCCTTCTATGGAAAGTTTGACTACAAGGCTGCTTCGTGTTCCAATTCTCAAAGAAAAAAATAATCAAGAACTTGTTGAATCTTCTACTATGATTTCTACTCGTGGAAGAGGAAGTTGCGACACTAGAGGAGGACGTGGAGGTAGAGGACGTCCTCAGTGCACTCATTGCAAGAGAATGGGTCATACCCTGAAAAATTGCTACTTTTTGCACGATTTTCCTGACAAGACTGTCAATTTTTCCAAATTTGAAATGGTTGAACCCAAGTTCTCTCACGAAGAATATCAGAAATATTTGAAGCTGAAATCCTGTAGTCTAGCACAGTCATCAACAACCCCAAATTCATTAACAACTTACATTTCACAATCTGTCGAAAGTCAAAATCCATGGATTATTGACTCAGGTGCTTCTGATCACATGTCTAGTAATACCTCTTTGTTTTCTTCTCTCTCATTTCTTAAAACTCCTCATCTCATAACCTTAGTCAATGGATCTAAAGTAGCCTCTAAAGGAACTGGTCAAGTCTCCATTTCTCCGTCTTTAAAATTAAAATATGTTCTTTTTGTTCCTTCACGTCCCTTCAGTCTCATTTCCCTAGGTCAATTAACCAAATTATTGAATTGTTCAGTAACCTTTAATGCTAACTTTTTTGTTATACAGGAACGTGGTACAGGTCGACAGATAGGCAAAGAACATGAATATGGAGGCTTATACTACCTTGGGACTAAATCATTGGTATCCTATGTTGCATCCTTGTCTCTAAAACTATTACACGAACGTTTAGGGCACCCTCACTTGTCAAGATTAAAAAAAATGGTTCATGAACTTCAGACTCTTCAAGATTTTGAATGTGAATTATGTCAACTAGGGAAACATACTATGTCCACTTTTCCTAAACGTTCTGAATCTAGATGTGACTCTGTCTTTTCTCTTGTTCATTCTGATATTTGGAGTCCTAGTCGTGTCTCATCCTTTGGCTATAGATATTTTGTTACCTTCATTGATGAGTTTTCTAGGTGTATTTGAATTTATCTAATGAAAGACTGTTCTGAATTATTATCTATCTTTAAGTCTTTCCTTATCGAAATCAAAAATTAATTTGGAAAAATAATCAAAGTTTTATGAAGTGATAATGCCAAAGAATACTTTTCTACTGATTTCTCCACTCTCTAAGTTCCCAAGGCATTTTACACCATTCTACTTGTCACACACCATAGCAAAATGATATAGCAGAACAAAAAAATAGACATTTGGTTAAAACTGCTCGTACCTTATTACTTGGTGCAAATATGTCTGTTCATCATTGGGGAGATGCTATTCTTACTGCATGTTTTCTCATTAACAGAATGTCATCTTCTTCTCTTAACAATAAAGTTTCACACTCTATTTTATTACCAAAGGAGCCATTCTTTCATGTTTCTCCTCGTATATTTGGTTGCGTATGTTTTGTTTATGATATGTCTCCAGGTTTAGATAAATGGCTAGAGCCATCAAATGTGTCTTCTTGGGATATTCTCGTCTTCAAAAAGGATATCAATGTTATTCTCCTGAAACAAAGAGGTACTACATGTCTACTAATGTCACTTTTTTTGAATCAACTCCTTTCTTCCCTTCTTCTATGCAGGATATTAGTTCGGTCCAAAATGTTCTACCTATACCCTTATTGGAGCCATTTGTACCTCCTCCTCTTGACACCCAAAATTCCACACAGAATACACCGGAATCCTCATCACTGCCTCTTATTACCTATCAACACAGGAGCCAAATGATCAGTCCCAAGCCCCAAGATGAGTCTTCCTCAGCAGATCCTACTCAATCATCCCCTGATACCACGATTCCTGATAATGATGACTCAAGTTGGCCCATTACCATTTGCAAAGGATCTCACTCTACTCGTAATCCACATCCCATTTACAATTTTCTTAGCTACCACAAATTGTCTCCTTCCTATTTTTCTTTTGTTTCTTCTATATCCACTATTACTATTCCTAAAAATGTGAAAGAGGCACTTGATCATCCTGGATGGCAATAAGCCATGATTGATGAAATGCAGGCTCTTGAGCATAATGGTACATGGAACTTAGTTCCTCTTCCACCTGGGAAGAAGACCGTTGGTTGTCGTTGGGTCTATGTCATTAAAGTTGGACCAAAAGGTGAAGTTGATCGACTCAAAGCTAGATTAGTAGCAAAAGGTTACACTCAGATCTATAGCCTTGACTACAGTGATATTTTTTCTCCTGTGGCCAAAATGACTACTGTTCGACTCAGTGGCAGATATTATTGGGAACTAAGGGAGGCCGTGACCCCCCTAAAGTTTTGTAACTCCCATGTAATTTAGGATTTTGACCCCCCCAAACTTTAATTTATTTACTTGTGTATTTACAATTTTATATTCTCAGGCTCTTCTCAGTTTTGTAACTCATATAATTTATGATTTCTCCCCCCCAAACTTAATAATCATTTATATATTTACTTATACATTTACAATTTTATCCTCTCACTCTTTCATCTTCTTTCATCCTTTTATATTTATTTATTATTTTTTAATAATATATTATTTGGTCCCCCCAGAATCAATGGTCAAGATCCACCACTGGTTCGACTTTGTTATGGCAGCTATCCGTCATTGGCCTCTTCATCAGTTAGATATCAAGAATGCTTTCTTGCATGATGATCTTGAGGAGGAAATTACATGGAGCAACCTCCTAGTTTTGTTACTCAGGGGGAGTCTAGTTTGGTTTGTAAGTTACATCGTTCTTTCTATGGTCTCAAACAATCTTCACGTGCTTGGTTTGAAAAGTTTAGTCACATTATTCAAAGTTTTGGATTAAAACGAAGTGAAGCAGATCATTCTGTTTTTTATTATCCTGCTTCAGGAAAATGTGTTTATTTAATTGTATATGTGGATGATATAATCATTACAGGGAATGATGTTGATAAAATTTCTCTGCTAAAAAACATTTACGCAATCACTTCCAAACTAAGGATCTTGGTTGTCTCAAATAACTTCTAGGGATTGAAGTGGCTCAATCAAAAGAAGACATTGTAGTCTCCCAAAAAAAAAGTGTTTTAGATATCTTGAAAGAATCAGACATGATTGATTGGAGACCAGTAGATAGCCTTATGGATCCAAATAAAAAATTAATGGCAGATCAGGGTGAACCGCTCTCTGATCCTAAGAGATATAGAAGACTTGTTGGGAAACTCATTTATCTCACCATTACCAGACTTGACCTATCTTTTGCCGTTGGAGTTGTCAGTCAGTTTATGCAAGATCCACGTACTGATCATTGGAATGTTGTCGTTCATATCCTAAAATATCTCAAAAAGACTTCAGGACAAGGTCTGTTGTATGAAGATAAAGGGGGTACCCAAATATCTGGGTATTGTGATGATGATTGGGCTGGATCCCCTATGGATAGACGCTCCACAACAGGATATTGTGTTCTCATTGGAGGCAATATTATTTCTTGGAAAAGCAAGAAACAAAATGTAGTGGCCCGGTCTAGTGTTGAAGCTGAATATAGAGTAATGGCGTCGTCTCTCACTTGTGAACTAGTGTGGGTGAAACAATTCCTTCAAGAACTGAAATTTTGTGAGATACAACAGATGAAGATGTATTGTGACAATCAAGCAGCTCTCCACATTGCCTCTATTCCGGTGTTCCATGAAAGACCCAAACATATAAAACTTGATTGTCATTTTATTCGTGAAAAATTGTTGTCTAAAGAAATTTGCAATGAATTTGTTGGGTCCAATGATCAACTTGCAGATGTGTTGACAAAGTCTTTAAGAGGACCTCGAATTGAATTTATTTGTTCTAAGCTTGACACATACAATTTGTATGCTCCAGTTTCAGGGGAAGTATTAGAATTATTATTAGGTAGTGGTTAGTGGTTGGTGTTTTAAAAGCTATAATCTTATATATATATATATATATATATATATATATATATGAGATCATAGAGTGAAGTGATGTATCCCACTGAATTATAAATCTTCTTTTAACTATCTTAACTAATTCAAACTCCAATGCATGAAATTTCAGTTCCTTGGCCTCATCACAGGTGGTGTTATGTGACAATCAGAGTGCAGTACGCCTAGCCCATAATACTATTGTTCATGCTCGCACCAAGCATATGGAATTGGACCTCTTCTTTAGTGAAAGAGTTATTGCCAAACAAATTCAGGTCCTGCACATCCCTTGTACAGACCAGCTTACTGAATTGTTAACCAAGACATTCTCTCTTTGCATTTCTCTCAGCTAAGGTCCAAGCTCAATGCCTTAGAGCTCCATTTGGACTCTCAACTACCTTGAGCTTGTGAGGGGGTATGAGACTACGTTTTCTCTATGCACTTTTCAGTCTAAAGCTTTACATTGTATTATATCAATTCTGTTAATAAGTGTAAAAGCTGTCATTTAGGTAGTACAGGTACAACAGTCATATATTTACTAGTGTTCAAGGGGAGATTGACATTATAATATAAACTTGAGATAAATCACATATCAAAATTTATGGATAATGAATTTCAAGTAAAGCACAGGTTGGGAGATTTCTGCATATTCACAGATGCAGCCTGACTGATATGGAATTGACCTATCAGCATTTTGTATGATAGGTGAGTTTGTCCAGCTTTTGATAATTTTTAAAATATCCACCTTATGGGTTTGGTAGCAGGAAGGAGTGAAAGATCTTTTGGCAGTGGTTATTCCTCTATGTCAAGTTTTCTTGCCCTATAGGCTATACCCCATATCAACATTCAGAGATATAATTCCAACATCTTAAAAAAAATGAATGTATAGATACAAAGTCAAGGAGACACAATGCACCTCACTTCTTGCTACAGCCTTTTCCATAGCATCATACAATTCATCAGTTTCCTGAGCACAAGATTGCAAAGTCAGCGATAGTTGGACTCAGCACACACTCCTGTCATAAAGAGAAATATAATAACAGTGGCCCTTAAAAGCCTACAAACTTGACTCCCAATATAGACCATATTTTTGTCTGAATTCAAACTATGGAAATATTTTTCTTTAATAAATGATTATGACGCAGATGCAACATTTGAGGGTATAAATAACTGACATCTTACCCAATATGCCATCAAATCAAAGCTCATATTATTGTAGTAGTGCTCAGCCACCAAGTACAAAATTGTGTGGTCAATTAGGAGTTATAAAGTGTTTGCAACAAAAATCCAAGAGTAAAGTTAACATTAATGAACAATGACAGATTTCACATCTACAACTTTGAAGAGGTCTTCAGGGGAAACCAAATAGCATCACATTCATCAGAAGTAGTTATGTACCTCTACTGGCCATCCATCAACCACAAACACGTCAAGGGAATAGCCATCAGTTGTGGAGAAAACATGTGCTTCACGGATGTTAAGTCCAATATCAGACAGCAAAGCAGACAACTAAAAGAAAATAATATCTGTTAAAAGCAATCATGCTATCCATCAATTATGTTGTCAAATATTAACAAACTAGAATCTCGCCCTTGATTATGTCAATAAATTGAAACTACATTTACACTCAATACAAAGAAAGCCCAGATCCCCCAATCTCAAGCTCTTGTAAGTAAAATCAACTCCAGTTTTTCTGTTTACACTCTCAATCACTTTTCTATCCAATGTTAATATATAAGTAAGAATACAGGAATATACAGTAATATAAATCACTTGTTAGTATGAAATCAATCCTTCTTCCCGCATCGAAAGACCGAGCCTCAATAAAAGGTCTATAAAGTCCACTCAGTCATTGAGGTGAGCTACTTCCTTCCAACTGAACTACCTGTACCTGTCAGCTACACGTCAATTAACCTAACTCTTCCTTTGAATGCAAAACCAGATTAAGTTCCGGATCTAATCCCATTCAAATAGACAAGCAGTGATTCAGGTGATACAGCATGCTTCAAATGACAAGTTGGCACACAGTCCAAAACTTCCCTAATAAATCTCTAGTTATCAAAAACTTTTAATTTTGAGGAAGGTTTCTTTTCATTAAGTTGATAGACGCATGGAAAATAAACAGATATATTTTGTGCTTAGTGGATTGAAAACTTTTAGCTCATTTTATTTTGGAGTTTCAAACTTTCAACTCACTTAGCAAATATATAAGTTAACATAAACAACAGATAAGATATACTCTTCAAACAAACCTGGCTTAACAGCTTTGGCTTGTCAACAGCAGAAAATATTATCTCATGAACTGGGATACTTGAATGCCTGTATTTTAAATTGCAATATTCAGGTAACATTTGGCATGCAAGTTCTACTCAATTTTAAATATGGTGAGATACTCATTAATAAAAACTTGAGATATAAAGATCCAGTTCCTCCATCGACATAGAAGAAGGTTAAAGTCATAATGAAATAATCCTGAAACTTGTAAATCAAATATAAATAACGCAAACAGATACAATGGAATATCCTCCAAAATGAAAAAGTTAACATTTAAACAAGTTTCAGAATACAAAACAAATTCTTCAACATGAAGGAGTTACTCTATGATGCTTCTGTTGGGGTCTCATCTACTTAACTTCATATGAATCTCTATATGGATTGTTAGAAGAGAAAGAATACCTTTCTTAAAAAAAAAAAAAAAAAAAAAAATCGTTCCTTTAAGAGTTATACATGCATGAAATGAGGAAATGTTCTAGCTACATAATTTTAAAAATAAGCTTTCTACCACAAATGCTGTCTACAGGCCTTTCAACTTCAACTTGTATTTTTCAATTCCTATATATATTCTGTCAAAATCCATATGAATAAACAGAATTCTATACATAAATTTTGGCAACAGGTTGAAGTAAGCAGTACTGTTCTCTTGAACAAGGAAAAAAATTGAAGCCATGTCTACCAATTTTAACAAAATTTTCCATACTGCTATTTCAAAACTAAAAGAAAAAGTGAGAAGCAGCACTGCAACTTTATTCAGGTGGTACCTCTGAAAAAAGTTGTCGGTGAGAAATATTTCCTCTGTCTCCTTGGAGTTCTTTCTAACGTCCAAATTTAGGTCCTCAAGCTTTGAGCAAGGCTCAAACTCATTTGCAATATCCCTCATCTTACTGATGAAAATAATATAAGTCATACATTACAAAGATAAAGAATTGATATTTTAAGAAACATTTACAGAATCTTCCTGCAAAATGCTTGTGCAAATTAATAGGATGTTTCACTGTCCACCAGATACAATACCTTTTCCCAGATGGTACAGCTACCCCATTTGTTGCATGAGATGATCCTGCGCTATAATGAGTACTTAAAATTTGTTGATCTTCACTATCTGTTCTGGTTGAAATATTCTGCCCAGCAAATTGAGAGAGAAGAAATTTGTTACAGACATGAAAAACTAAAAGAAATATGAAAGACTCAATGCATGAATAAAAAAAACAGGCAAGAGAAAAGACAATTATTATCAAAATTGAAAAATAACTTGTTTAAGGAAAAAAAAGAACAATGGATGTATTGAAGAGAAAACCAATAGAGGTCTCATTAAGAAAAATTTGTTAGATAAACATAATCAGCATACTAAACAGATGTAGAGGAAGACTGAGAAAGGGAAAATCCTCAGATGGATCATATGAACCACGAACTACCATTTACCAACATAAGCACTTGAATGTTCAACTAAATATAAAATGTACAAATTAGGAGGGAGTAAGACGTAAAACTCTTGCAGAAATTCTTGTAACAAATAAGCAAGGAATCTTAAAGTAATCTAATGTAGTTTATCGTTTCGATAGGTATCTGACATTTTCTAAAATCTAAAATTTCAAAATCAACAACATATATGATGCTTCTTCAGCGTAACCATAAGCCATAAACAGGTAAACTGTAAGTATACACATAAATCACCCAAAAGATTATTTTTATTGACTGTATATGCAAATTAAGATTCTGCAAGCATCTTTACTTTTAAGAAATCATGGCAAAACTTAGGTGTTGGTGGTGTTCTCCAATTAAAATTGAACTTTAAGCTTGGTAACTACACCTACCTTTAGTGCTTAGTTTACCAAGGTAAAACTCTAATTGTGACTACACCAAAGCACCTAAAAAGAAACATCTAAGTGTTGTACTTTCTGATTATGTTAGTTACATATTTCTGTACTTTAACTATTGTTAGTTCATGACCAGGTCAAGGCGTACATATGTAATACACGTTCCTATTTTTTTGGGTTTCACTCATAATTATGTTTTCGGAATACATCATAATTACTGATACAAAAGAAACACCAACATAGATTAAGGATTTTACTAGTAAAACCAAGCCCTTGCCCCAGCACATATCTATGGCATGTGATGGGGAACAGGAGAAAGTTAGTGGGCCGGAAAAATTATTGATCCATGAAGCTGCCAGCAAGCCCAAGACGTGGTTGGTTTACAAGAGAAGGGAGAAGAAAATAGGAAAAGGAAAATAGATATGTTGAGGTGGAAGTTAGTTAAAGGGGAGAGAAAATAATTAACTATATAGTAGGTTTGTTTCTGTTAAGGGGGGATCTTTTTTGGGGCATTTGATTTTACGGGTATGGAGAGAGAATATCTCTTTGTAATACTGAGCAGTGCTCTGAGGTATCTGGAGGTCATGTCTCTTGATGCATAGTTGTTCTTTGTTTCTGTCAAGAATCAAATCTTTCTTGTTTTTCTTCCATATTTTTTCTCTTTGCTAATAACACTGTGTCAAGTTTTCTGGTTTGCATCAAATTGGTCCAACCTGCCGGATCAAACACTTCCATGAATGCCAAGAAACCAGCGAACGCAACACTGATGTCTAATGAAATGGTGGATTCTAGTTTGGAAACGGTGGAAAAGGAACTGTCCGGTTTACGATTGATGATGGAGGAAAAATAAGAAGAATATGATGGAGTTTATTGTTTAAAGCCTAAGTGGCTTTGCCAAGGATCTAGGGAGAAGGAGTGAAGAGATGTCAGAGAACCATGGTGAGGGAGTTCATTCATCCAATGACGGACCCGAAGACGAAAAGGAGGATGGAAAAGGCATTTCGGAAGGGAACAAGAGTGATGGAGACCCCAAACTCCAGGGAGATGCCTTGGAAGAATTTAGGTAATCCGTAAAGAAGGTCGAACTTTCTCCGTTCAACGGCGAGGACCTCGTCGATTGGATATCACGTGCCAAAGTTTATTTCCAGATTCAAAATACAAGAGATTCAGTACGCGTGCGTCTGGCGCAATTGTGTATGGAAGGAGGGACAATACATTTTTTTAATTCGTTGCTCAACGAAAGGGAAAATGTCTCCTTGGAATAGTTGAAGGAAGCATTATTGGATCGTTATAGAGGTTTGGGAAAAGGGAATGCATACGATCAACTTATGGTGTTGGAGCAGACCCATGACGTTGATCAATATATCTAGAATTTTGAGTTTCTGATGGCACAAATTCCCCGAATTCCAAACAAACAGTATTTTTCATTCTTTACACGTGGATTGAAGGAAGATATTCGTGATCGTGTGAGGAGTTTGCAAGCTATGGGTACTCTGACTCGTTCATGTTTGCTTAACATCACACAAACAGTAGAGGTGGAACTTAGGGATAAGGGCAGATCGGTCTTTTCACCAGGAAGGATGGACCTACGTGGGTCGCATTGGCCTGCAAGGCCCAATTCAAGTGTGGTATCCAGAAATCAAACAAAAATTGAGAAAGGGACTAGGGGTCAGGTTTTCACAGGTGGAACCAATGGGTCGTGGTCCAATTCACATGGGGTGGTGCAAGGACGAAATGGTGGTGGACTAAGAGATCGTGGGATGAAACAAATGTCATATAATGAGCTTACGAATAGAAGGCAATGTGGCCTCTGCTTTAAATGTGGTGGAACCTATTCACCTCAACACGTTTGTCCAAAAAAACAATTGAAGTTAATGCTAACTGATGAAGGAGATATCGACGATGATCATTCTGATTCTGAATACACGATACGGACAAAATTGATGGAGAATGTTCTATTCTTCACTTGCGTAATCTGTGGCACCAGGTTGAGGACATGTCGCAACCGAAAACATTGAAGGTTGAGGGTGAAATTCAAGACACTCCTGTATGTGTTTTGGTGGAAAGCGGAGCCACTCACACCTTTATCTCTAGAAGTTTAGTGGAGGCAATGGGATGGTTGATAGAAGAGACGAAATACTTGAAGATCTTGATGGGGGATGGCCATAAATCAATTACGCGTGGAAAGTGTCGAGAACTTCATATTAAATTGGGTCATCGGATGTTTGTGTTAGACGCTTATCTGTTCGATCTTGAAGATATTGACGTTGTGTTGGGAATTTCATGTCTTGCTTCCTTGGGAGAGATGATTATTGATTGGAAATTTCAGTCTCTTAGTTTTGTGCATAACGGTGAATGGGTCGAGTTAAAAGAAACAGTGCAGCACAATAAAAAACAAGACACCCTTAACTCGCTAGAAGGAATGATTTCTACTAAGAAGGTAGTGGCAGAAGTTCGGGAAAGTGAAAGTGAGTTGGTGACAGTGTTGGACCAGATGCAGAAGCAAGATTTACAAGGCTTATTGGCTCAATTTAAATATGTTTTTTCAAGAACCTCAGGGTTTGCCCCCTAATAGAACCAAAGTACATAGCATCACCTTGTATCCTGGTCAAGGCCCAATCAACGTGCGTCCTTATAGATATGCACATCATCAAAAAGACGAGATTGAACGTCAAGTCAAGGATTTATTTGATAATGGGGTTATTCGACACAGCAACAGTTCGTTTTCTAGTCCGATGATTCTGATGAAGAAAAAAGACAAGTCGTGAAGGATGTGTGTAGACTACAGGGCGTTGAACAAGGTGACCATCCCGAATAAATTTCCAATTCCCGTTATTGAGGAGTTGTTGGATGAGTTGCATGGGGCAAAGTTCTTCTCAAAATTAGACTTAAAATCTGGTTACCATCAAGTTAGGATGAGAGAAGAAGACATAGAAAAGACCACCTTTAGGACACATAAGGATCACTATGAGTACCTCGTGATGCCCTTCGGGCTAATGAATGCTCCTTCGACGTTTCAAGGTCTAATGAATGATATATTTCGAGGTAAGTTGAGGAAATCAGTTTTGGTATTCTTTGACGACATTTTAATCTTTTCTAAGAGTTGGAAAGAGCATATGCAACACTTAGAGGAGGTATTCCAAATTTTGCAAGAGCATGTTTTGTTTGCCAATGAAAAGAAGTGTTTCTTGGCAAGGAGGCAGGTGCAGTATTTGGGACATATCATATCAGAAGAGGGAGTAGCGGTGGACCCGGAGAAAGTAAGGAGTGTAATTGAATGGCCAATCCCCAAGAATGTGAAAGGGGTAAGAGGTTTCCTTGGTTTGACAGGCTATTACAGGAAGTTTGTTCGTGATTACGGTAAAATAGCTCATCCCTTGACAGAATTGACTAAGAAGGATGCCTTCAAATGGGGAGATGAGGCTCAAACAACTTTTGACACATTGAAGAAAAGGTTAACTACAGCTCAGGTGCTTGTATTGCCGAACTTCGACAAGGAATTTGTGGTGGAGTGCGATGCTTCCGGATTGGGAGTAGGGGCAATAATGATGCAAGACAAGCATCCAGTGGCATTCTTTAGCAAGGCTCTTAGTACTCAAAATTTGAACAAGTCCATGTATGAGAAAGAATTGATGGTTGTAGTTCTTGCAGTGAACCATTGGAGACCTTATCTTATTAGGAGGCATTTCTCGGTTTTGACAGATCATAAGAGTCTTAAACAGCTCCTTCAACAGAAAGTTATCTCTGGTAACTAGCAAAATTGGATAGCTAAATTGTTGGGTTATAACTTTGATATAATTTACAAGCCTGGGGTGGACAATAAAGGGGTTGATGCTTTATCAAGATAGATGGAAAGTGGTGAATTAAGGAGTCTTACGTACCTTCCAGTGTGAATGGATAGTCAAGCCGTTGTGGTTGAAGTGCATGATGATGCAAAATTAAGGGAAATTATTGAAAAGATCAAGAAAGGTGAAGAAGTTCTTGCTGGTTTTACTTACCAACACGGAGTTCTATTATTTGAAATCAAATTGGTGGTGGCTGCGAATTCTGATTGGATTCCAAAAATCTTGGAAGAATTTCATGTGACTCCTCAAGGGGGCCATTCTGGTTATTTCAGAACCTATAGGTGATTGGCGGCTAACATATACTAGAAAGGGATGAAAAGTAGGGTGCAGCAATATGTGAGAGCGTGTGACATTTGCCAAAGACAAAAATATTTAGCAAGTACACCAGGAGGGTTGCTACAACCTTTGTCAATTCCAGAAAAGGTCTGGAAACATATATCTTTAGACTTCATTACGGGTCTGCCTAAATCTAAGGGATATGAAGCAATTCTAGTAGTGGTAGATAGGCTAACAAAGTATGTCCACTTTGTTCCACTTAAGCATCCCTACACGGCCAGAACGTTGGCTGAAACATTTGTGAAAGAAATAGTGAGGTTGCATGGGGTTCCAAATTCCATAGTCAGTGACAGAGACCCCATTTTCATAAGTCAATTCTGGAAGGAGTTTTTCAAACTTCAAGGCACAACCCTTAACATGAGTACTGCTTATCATCCACAATCGAACGGTCAAACGGAGGTGGTGAATAGGAGCTTAGAGACATACTTGAGGTGTTTTATCATTGATCAACCCAAACAGTGGGTGGTTTGGCTTCCGTGGGCTGAGTATTGGTATAATACATCCTACCATGAGTCCACTCAAATGACTCCTTTCGAGGCAGTGTATGGGAGGAAACCTCCATCTTTGGTAAGGGGGATCCAAGTAGAAATAAGGGTAGAAGCAGTCCAACAAGAGTTGGGGGATAGAGATGAAATTTTAAGGCAACTAAAGGAGCATCTTACAAGGGCTCAGTTCAAAATGAAGAACCAAGCAGAGCTCAAAAGACAAGATAGGAAATTTGAAGTAGGTGAATGAATTTTTCTAAAATTACGTCCTCATACAGAATTCTGTTTTTTCCAGGGTCAATACCAAACTTGCAGCAAGGTACTACAGTCCTTTTGAAGTGTTGAGAAAAGTTGGTGAGGTGGCTTATCATTTGAACTTACCAGCCACTTCAAGAATACACCCAGTTTTTCACGTATCATTGTTGAAGAAAGCAATTGGAAACTACCAGACTCAACCAAAACTACCTACTGAATTGGGAGAAAAGGATGCAGAGATGTGGAATCCTACTTCCATTTTAGCCATCAGAGAAGTCTTAAAACACGGAGAGAAAGTGAAGCAATTGTTGGTGCAATGGGCAGCAAAGCCAGCGAGGAAGCTACATGGGAGGATGCCATTATGATCAAAAGTCAGTTCCCTCATCTCCATCTTGACAAGATCAATTTTAAAGAGAGTGGCAATGATGGAGATCAGAAGAAAGTTAGTGGGCCGGAAGAATTATTGATCCATGAAGCTGCCAGCAAGCCCAAGACATGGTTGGTTTACAAGAGAAGGGAGAAGAAAATAGAAAAAGGAAAATAGATATGCTGAGGTGGAAGTAAGTTAGAGGGGAGAGAAAATAATTAACTATATAGTAGGTTTGTTTCTGTCAAGGGGGGATCTTTTTTGGGGCATTCGATTTTACGGGTATGGAGAGAGAATATCTCTTTGTAATACTGAGCAGTGCTCTAGGGTATCTAGAGGTCATGTCTCTTGATGCATAGTTATTCTTTGTTTCTGTCAAGAATCAAATCCCTCCCGTTTTCTTCCATATTTTGTCTCTTTGCTGATAACACTGTGTGTCAAGTTTTCTGGTTTGCATCAGCATGTAATATTCCTAATCTTATTTTTTTGTCTAACACAATAGTATGGCTTCTAGTAAATGCATACTTGGAAAAGATGAAGAATGGACACAAATACACGTGCGGACACAGTTACAAATAAAAGAATAAGATTAATATCATTTTAAAGAATAATTTACATACACTGACAAGGTAAAGGATGCTTACAGTCATCCAACCGTAGATCACCATATATGGTAAATCTACTGTTTTCGTAATAACTACTTAAAAGTTATGTTGGAAATGAAATTACCAAAAGCACTAAGAAGGTGAATGAATTAAATTTCTCTCATAAATTGAAAATAACTTGCCCATTTTTGACAAGTTTATTAGAACTTGTACCAAAGCTAATTTTAACTTCTAGGAGGAGCTTAATTTATGTTATCAGAGTAAAAATCTATACACTATCCGTGCATGAAAAATAAACACTTATTTAAAATCTAAATACATAAATACAAATCATGGATATTGATTGAACAAAGATACGATCAAATCAATCAGCGATGATCCAGAGGTAGCTCAAATCCAAAACTCCGTACAGCAAGACAAATGGAGTTAGCCATAGGTAAGTAAGCAATTCCTCAAGATAAGGGATAACAGTACCTCGAGGAAGCGTATATGGTAAACAGGGCGCTTGTCAGGGTCCCTTGCCAGAGCAAGAAGCGTTTGATGTAACAAAACATCTTCAGCTCTATCGATATTCACATCGAGTCCATAACTGAAACCACAGCAACGGCTTATTCAACACTTCATTCGGTTACAAATGGAAAGCGAAGCAAAAGACGCTAATCGAAAAATAGTAAGAGAGTGAAATCGAGGAACCTCGGAGGCAAACGATTGAAGTGAGCTTCCAACTGTTCGCGGAAGTCGGGATTGGAAACGGCTTGGTCGTGACCGGTTGCGAGGAGGCGGTTGTAGACGTCGTTGCGGATGTCGTAGTTGCCGTAACCACTGAAGGCGCGTGGCGGCGAGGAGCTCTCTCCGACGCCTTCGACCAAATCCATCCGCCGCGGAAGACGGTTCTTCAAGGGCGCATGGCGTGAAGAGAGAGAGAAAGAGAGAGAGCGGATGGTTGAGTTGACTGTGGTGTGAGGAGAATCCGAGTTGAAAAGGAAGGGAAGGGTTTCGTGTGATTTGAAAAGGAAATGGAGGGCAATTTGGTCCACGGTCAGGGTGCTTGCTTGCCGCTGAGCTGAACACAACGGAAGCGGAAAAAAAGCGAGATTTTAGGAAAAGAAAGAAGGAGAAAAAAGGAAGCAATTGGAGTGGCGTTGGGTTGAAATTGTCGTTCCTCTTACGCTGCCTGCGTTTGGCTAATCTCTGATTCTTTCCGACCCGAAATTTTATTTTATTTTTTAAAGGAAAACCCACACTGACATCAGTTAAAGTCGTCTTAAGAACATTAAAATATTATACTGATAAATTATATTATGACATATTTATTTATTTAATATAATATTCTCACATTAAGCAACATTATTATTATTATTATTATTATTATTATTATTATATTGGTTTTTAACCTTTTCATAGTTCCTCTGATAGGCTTGTAGACTTTTTTATTTTAGTTTTAGTTATAAAAAATAATGACTTTTTTAACTTTTATTATTTTTATTTTCGCCGGTAAGTGTCTTGTCCTTAATAATAACGTGATAGATGAAATACTACGTTATCAGCTACATGTCTTAATAATGTAACCAATTTTTAGGTTATTATTTAATAGAAAATACTATTAATAGGAATTATAATAATAATAACTTATATTACAGGAATATAAATATCAAACATAATTGTAAAATAAAATAAAAATTTATTTAAATATAATTTTTGTTAATTAATTATCAAAACCACATTACATTCATATACAATAATTCTTCTTTCTTTTACTCGTTTTTGTATCTTTTTTATTTATTTAAAAAAAAATATTGTTTTTTTTTCTTTTACATCTCTCATTTATTTTTATAATTAAAAATAACATATTTAAATTTAATAAAAACATTTAAAAGTATCTTTCTAAATTAACATTGAAAATAAAAATATATAAATTAATTATTTAAAATTATAATGATAATAAAAAATTTATTTATGATAACAAGAAATAATTAATTTAAAATTAATTCATCATAATAAATATTAAATATTTAAGTTGAATTTATTTTTTATTTAATAATTTAATATAAATATCATTAAATTAAATTAGTATGATTAGTTGTATTAAATAATTTAAAAAAATATATCTAATAAAAAATATATATTTTATTATTTTTAATGTTGATTTGAACAAAAAAATTAACATAATTTTATTAAATTTTAATATAATATTTTTAAAGTGGAAGATTAAGAGAGAGTGATACAAGACAAATGAATAAATGACAAAAGGAAAGAAAAAAAACAATGAATAAATAACAAAAGATATAAAAAAGATATATAAGAAATAAATGAGGAAGAAAAAAAGTAAGAAAATGAATGAGGGGAGAAAAAGTAATTATTTGTGTCAGATTAATTTATTTTTTATAATTAATTTGTGTATAACTATTAAATAAATTTAATTAGATAAATAAATTAATAAAAAAATTTTAAAATTATATTTTTAAAAGTAGATTATTTATTAGATTGGCGTTTAACATATTAGAGATAATAATCTAAAAATATAAAATTTTAGGTATTTTATTACATGTCTTTATATCATCTATTTTGTTTTTTGTTTTTTGTTTTTGATGAAGATAATATGAACTTAAAACATAATGGATCGTTTGAAGAGAAATGTTTGTGTGCTTTATGAAGCGCAGTTTTGAATTTACCCAATACCAAAACTTTTGACTCATTTTTTTGTTACAAACAAACATGCATATCATGATCACATAGTTGGAATATTTAGTTCTTAGGAAACAAGGCACAGGGCGCATATGATTGACTTACCTATATGTTTTGTGATTGATTTTGATGTGTTTAAATTATTTAGAGGTTCCAATAGAAAAATTATCCAGTATTTCAGTATTGGATGATGAATTGATAACGATAATTGTAATTTTTTTTTTAAATTACGTGACGTAATTGCGCTCCAAAGGATAACAGTTAAACGGAAAAAAACAAAAACTATTAGAATAACCGAGGGATTTGGATTATATCAAATTAAATTTTAAATTTTATCTTCATTTATATTAATATTGTTACTGATTGTTTTATTGATTAAGTATTATGAATGTGGATAATGACAAGTTAAGAAGATAGATGAAATTTATCAAAATCAATTGGCTGTATTATAAAAAGGTAGACCCTTTATGTAATTATTGAAGAGATGTTATGAGATAGTATTTAGAGTAAATAATTATAAGAAAATACAATGAAAAGATAATTGAATTTCCTCATAAATCAAAATTAATTTCTACATCTTAATATTTTAAAAAGTTGGATAAAAAAGGTTTTAATAAAGTAAAATACTTTTAACTTACATGTAGAGTTAAATTTATTTATCATACGCAATTTTGTAGAATATTTATAAAGGAAGTTATCCGTTGAGAGAATGTTAAGTGTAGACATAGGTCAAGGCGAGATGACCTAAATTAGAAAAAAAGTTCATAAAACTGTACTTTAAACTTTTTTTATGTGTAGATAAATTTCACTCACTATCTCATCTACGTATGATTTTCTACGTCTAATCAGAAATGGATTTATTCATACATTACACATTGAAATGTTTTTTTATTATAAATTATAAACTATAATTATAATAACATTTACAAACATTTGTTTTTTATGAATTATAAATCATAATATCAATGAAAAAACTAATTCTTACACCATTGTAAATTAAGGTTCAAATTTTATAAAATTCAATTATATCCAAATTTGGATTATGCCTCAACCAAATGATCGTTTAAAGAAAACACTTTTGAAAAAGAAAAAAACTGTGTGATAAAGTAAACATTGGAAAAAACAAAAAACATATAGAAAAACAGGGTATGTCCCTTGTTCTCTTTTCCATCAAATACACGTGTCCCTTCGTCCTTCTTTGCAACTCAAACAAGATTTCCATTCGTCACAACAAATATTTGCCTTGTACATTTCACTCAACAACTCTAATTTCACCCATGATCTCGGAAGTATTTAAGAAAAATAACAATATATTCTTTTACTGACGGTTAAAAAAATCGATTAATACCAAGAACAAGACGTTGACCATATATAAAATATATATTTTTTATCCAAAATTACAATTTGAATATTAATTTTTTTAATAGTCACAAATTATTATTATTATTACTATTTTTCTCATTGATACTAAAATTTATATATATATATATATTTCTTTATTTATTAAAGTGTTTTTTTTTTAAATAAATTATGATATGAGTTTGAAATAGTCGAATTTCTAGACAAAAAATTAATATCCAAAATAAAAAATTGAGTTTTACTTCACTTTTATATATATATATATATATATATATATATATATATATATATATATATATATCATCTTCGTTCTGAAAACTTATGTTTCTATAAGTACATTAATATCATAATTATTAATAAAAACAAAAGTCATACTCCCTCTTATTTCACTTTTATTTAATTTTTTTTATTGATTAAAAAAATTAGAGAGTATCATGTTTTCAAACCCACTAGAGTAGAAAAACATATCTCAAAATTGGACTATCTAACAAAGTACTATTTACATATTATTCATCGAAAAAAATGAATTGAAATTCTAGTGAAATATAAACTTAATCTCTATCCGTTTCGTTGACATTTCACGTTATCTCTACGACGGTGTTTTGTAACCCAAAAACCACCAAAAGCAAATTTAAGTTGAGTTTTGTTGAAATTACGGACTGGGATAAAAATCAATGTACTACACAACATTTGCACTATTATGGAGTTAAAAATGTTTGTGAGCAATGAATTTAATTGAAATAATTTGGAATTTGATCCTATCACAAACATAAGAAGCAAAAAGAAAAATAAAATAAAAATCTTATGCGATGACTATAAATTAGCAGGGAGATCTATTTGTCCGATACCAAACATGTGCAAAAAGGTCTAACATGCCGCCAACAACATTTAAAATAAGAATCACATGATTCACATCTTCTTAGTTCATTGTTCATTGTTTAACCAATACAGGTACTATGTCTTCAATCCTCACCTAATTATTTACTTTATCACTTTTTTATCTTAATCTAATTCTCTCTCTCTCTCTCTATCTCTCTATCTATCTATCTATATATATATATATATATATATATATATATATATATATATATATATATATATATATATATATATATATATATATATATATATCCAGAACTCTAATAAGAGAATTTAATATTTGCTGTCTTTATCTCTATTATCTTGTGTATTACTTATAAACGATCTCTTTGATTAATTATACAAAATATTTCTATGATAATGAACTTATGATAAGAATGTACTAAGAATTTTTAATAAATAAAGGTAAATGAGAAATGTATTTCTACATGGCCTGTCAATTTGAGAATTTTTTTTTCATATGCCATTTGTCCGGTCAATTTCTTCAAAAAGTTTGCACGTGCTAAAACTCCTCTATCTCTAGGATAATCACGTGTCTATTTTTTCTTCTGTCTCATGTTTTATTTGTATTTTATTTTTCGTATATTTTTAGTTATTATTACATTTTTCCATTATTAATCATTATTTAATAAATTTTTTCTTAAAAGTAATGAACTGCATAACTTTTTCTTAAAGAATATAAAAAATAACAAAATATATTTTTAGTTCAATTGTAATTTGTTTACAAGGAAAAGGGGGGAATATTTGTTATGTAGTGAGACACAGAAAAGTACATAAAATTTCAACAATTCTGACTATCTTTTTTAATATGAAAATACTTTTTATTACAAATTATTGGCCATCTTACCTGACACTTCACTAGTTGTGTTCAACTTTATTTTACGTGGGTTTGGAAGCTCGTACACTCCGCACAAATGCCTAAACTGCAGCCCATTAACTCAAACACGGAACC